GCCAACCCCCGCCCTCCGCCTGCCAGTCGGCGTACCCCGTCTGCTCACTGTCGGCTGCCCTGCTGATCGCCCCACATATGGACCACCCCGACGGCAGCAGCGCCAACACAGAGATCTACGGGGAGGCGAGGGCGTTTTTTGTCGAGAGCAGCGACGGCCAGGCGCTCTACGACAGACACTTTGCTGCGAAAGGTGGAGGGGGAGACAAACGCGGTCACACATGCACATACACACACACACACAGAAGTACGCAGAGACGCACAGTGTGTGTGTGTGTCTGTGTGAGAATAGGCCGGGTCAATTCGTCAGTGGCGCGTTGAAGTGGGACAAGCCCCATAAGCACCCCAATTGCACGGTGAGCCAAGTGATCGAACTCATTGACCTGCGTGTATTGCCTGTCCTATCTTCCACAATATGACTTGGAGGAAGATGGTGTGTTGTGCTCTCTGTGTGGCTGATTCAGGCCGAAAGCAACTTCACCGAGAGTCTGCAGTTGGCGCAGCGCTCGACTGAAGAGGTGCGCGAGGCGAGAGAAAAAGGAGAGAGACCAGCACACATGGACATGTATCCCTATGCCCGTCTTGTGTGTGGGCAGCGTGAGAAGGACCAGGACCCCGGTACGGTGTGTATGTGTTTGTTGCTGGTGCGCAGATCGCTGGCTACATTTTATATCTGATCGACTGATAACGACCCTCCACCGCACTGCCTTCCCAGCCGTGTGCGCATCGAATGTGAGCTGTCAAAGCAGACTGATCGACCTGCACGTGTCTCGTGTATGTGTGTGAAGAGCGATCGCCGTTTACACCTTACATCGGTGGGCCTCTGCTGCTTACTTCCTTCAAGGTTGGCTGTTGTAAATCGCTTTGATATCCCCGGCGGCGCCGCAGGTACGTAGGTGAAAGAGGCTCTCAGACAGATTTGTTCATGTCTCCCCTCTAATCTTCTCTTCTCTTTTTTTCCTTCGCATACTTGGCCGCTCCGGCGGCCACCGAGAGCATATTTTGGCCTAGCTGCAGGACGACGTGGGCTCATGGAACAAGGGAAGACCCCCACGACCAAACCAGGTGTGTTGTATACACACCACGATCTTGTTTTGGTGAGACTGAGAAGGGCATTGTATATGTATGGTGCGTCAGAGGAAGGCGGAGGACCTTTTGGCCGAGGTAGGTCGGGGAGGAAGGAAGGCACCCGTGTGCGTGTCTCGTGTCTGTGTGTGCACCAGATAGATCCCAAGCTCTCAGAGAGAGAGAGGAGAGAGAGAGGAAAAAAGATAGCCCGCCGCACGGACGCCAGCCGCCGCAATGAGGCAGAGCCTCACGAGCAGAGGCCTCGACGTCCCCGATGTCTATACCGACTCCAGGGAGGCCTTCGGTCTGAAGTATCTGCGCCTCAAGCGCGAGCACCCTGCGGTAAGCAAGGGACGGGAGGCACACCGGCACACTGGCAGGCAAGACCATTAACAGTAGTTTGCCTGCTCACTTGCTGCAGGAGTGCAAGGCCTTCCTGGAGTCGGTCCGGGGGACGTGGGAGGGCCGGGACATGAAGCTGATGATGCTCAAGTACGATGCCGACGCCGACCAGGTACGTACGTACATCGCACACACATCCATCTGCACACAAGACACAACCAACTGATGCTCTCTGCTCTGCTGTGCTGTGCTGTGCTGTGCTCTCTGGGCAATTCGCCGTTCTGCAGAAGGAGGCTGCCAAGACCTCCACCGACCACCACAGCCAGCACCAGCAGCAGCCTGCCGGCACCACCAGGAAGGTGCTCGTCAGGGCTGGGGAGTGGGGTGAGGGCGCCGATGGCTATTATGCCAGCGCCCTCACCCAGTGGGACCTGGCCCACTGGCAGCGGAGGGGGGCGTGTTGGGTGGTGACCTGGACGGTGCCCGAGGAGGGGTGCTGCTGCGTCGAGGCGGGGAGGGGCCGGAGGGTATCATTCTCCACGGCGGTATGAAAGGTCCTATACACAGAAGGAACAGAAATCAGTCAAGTGCATTTCCTGTTCGTGTCTGTGCTTTCGGGTGGTGTGCAGATCGCTGGCTACATTCTATATCTTGATCGACCGATGACGCCTTCGGACCGCACCGCTGTCTGGCCGTTTGCACGTCGACTGTGAGCTGTCGACATACACTATATAGTGATCAACTCCAGTGTGCGTGTCTCGTGTCTGTGTGTGCAGATAGATCGCCGTCTCTCGTCTTATATTTGTGGACTTATACGGCTGCGATGCCCCTACTCCATCCAAGTCTGCGCCCGGCGGCCCGGTAGGTACGTCAGTGAGGGAGAAAGGAGGACGATAAAAGCACTTCATCATCGTGTCCCTTCTTGTCTGTTGATGCATCTTTGGCGGCTTCGGCCGCCACCGAGAGACGCATGGTGGCCAAGCAATGATGGTGGGGCCGTCGTGGACAACATCTACGACAACACTGACTTCGCCAACGAGCCAGACGGCAGTTTCGTGTCCTCTGTGTGCTTCGCTTTCCTCCTGGGGAGTTCTCCGTCGTCTGGCTGCTGGGAGAGACGGCCGACGAGGAATGGCGACACAAGGGGGGCGGCGTCAAGGCGCGCCATATGTCTGGCATCCCCATGGCCGACGGCAGGCGAATCAAGAAGACCATGGATCTCCTCAACCACACGGCAACCTCCATCGACGGACAAGAAGAAAAATGTTCCTTAATTGGGATGACCGTCTCCGTTTTTCGACAGACTTCTCAACAAAGTGTAAGTGCTTACGATAAGTGTAGTCTTCCAGAAATGCACTCTTTTCTTTGCAGAAAGTGCTGAGTGCGTTGAAGAAGGAAGAAGAAGTAACTAAAAGGAACGCCAACACCGAGGTGAGGCGCCACACAAATGGCCATGTCCCCCTGTGCTGCCCTGTTGGTGTGCTCCCTTTCTGCAGCAGGCCTGCTTAGAGTCGTTTGCCGGCCGACCACCATCGACTGGGAAGTGCCCAAATACCTGACAGCACACACGGCGTCTTATGTGATTTGTCATGTAGGGTGTGGTCGAGTGCGAGTCTCGACTACGGGTATGTCTTTACGACATATCGGGAAGAGGTAGAAATTGTCGCTGCATATGGTCCGTATGTCAGATTTCTCCGTCACTCTCATTTCTTTGCTGTCTATGTTGAAGGCGGCCGAAGGGCTCAGGCTGAGACGCATCAAAGACCTGCTACAAGAGAGCACAGCAAGGTAAGTAGGCGGGTGTACACATGAGGCCATTTGTTTGTTGACTTTCCTTTGCAGGTTGTCTAAGGCCGCCTTGGGCGGCAGGGCCGGCACCGCCTCGGGCAAGAAGAAAAGGAAACAAGACCTGCAACTTCTGTGAGCGACGCCACTGAGACACGATGCCATGTGCATTTCCGCATGATCCTCCCTTCGTGTCTTTGTGTGTGTCCATGATTTTATATCATTCAGACGAGTACGACCTGACCAGCAGCAAGTGCGAAGCGAGTTCAAGCGCCTCAACAGCGTCCAGAAAGGTGCCTTGGCCTCTTGTAGCATATCAAGAGGCACACACAGTAAGCTGTGACGTGACAGGCACCCGTCAGTGCAGAAGTAGTTTTTGGCGCCTTCCAGCCGTCGTCATGGCCTCCCCCAACAGCCATGCTGCGTCATCAGCAGCAGCAGCAGCGTCACGCCCCGCCCACACTCTCCGCCTACTCGACGGCTTTCAGATAGCCCTCGGCCGCCGTCTCAACGGCAACGCCACGGCCATCGGCCGCGTCTATGAGACCGAGCTGCCTCACACCGGCGGCGCCAGATCGTCAGCGCTGAAGCTGTTTGTCCTGCCCAGCAACCACGCGGACAAGAGGGAGCGGCTGATCAAGGAGGCCGAGATCGAGAGGGGTGCTGGGCAAGTGCGGCGAGGACTCGCTCCTCGTCGGGATATACGAGCCCCACTGCCACACCGACCCCAGCATCCCCGACACGCTCGTCATCGAGCATCAGGACGGCCACGTGAGTGAGGAGGAGTGTCTGCTCATTGCTCTACAGCTGTTGGCAGGTGAGGGGGCGATGCATGCAGACCAATACACGATTCATGCACACATGGACCTCTCTGTGTCTCTCTTTTCTGTGTTAGGCAAGGAGTGGCAGCCGGTCGACGACCTCCTGAAGGAGCACAGCTTCAGCAAGCTGGCTCAGCTGAAGGAGAACGAGGCCGTGAAGGACCCCAAGGACATCGGCAAGAAGCTGCAGAGCCTTCTCGGGCTGCGGCTGTACGTGAGGTGCCATCGCGCGGTGGTGCAGTTTGGCGTGCTGGCCCTGGACAATCTCTCCAAGGCTGTCCTCTTAAGAAGTGCTTCCTGGAGAGGCTCGAGGTGCCCGGCAGCTGCCGTGAGTGTGGCCAAACTGGACACCATTTTGCCCACACATGAAAGAGGTCAGCCATCCAGCCACAATTGCTTGAACCAGAAAGGACTGTTCGTGTCTGTATTGTTTGGTTCAGGTTAAGCTTGCCTCAGTGGCGGGTATTCGGGGCCCCCCAAGTCGCGAGGGTGCAAGCAAGCAGGTAACACACACAGATGAAGCGGGCGGGTGCACGAGCCACTTGGATGTCTGTTGCAGGCCGATCAGTGCATCACGTCACCTGTTCGCGCGGCACTGCCCATTCCCACCACGGCAGAAGCACGCGAAGAGGAAAGACGTCAGCCCACACCACACTGAGCGCCGCACGCGTGTCCGCCGAGGCGCTTTCTGGTGAGGTGTGGGTCACTCCATCTCCTCGGCCGCAAACACACGACACGCACACACAAGGTGAGCCGGCCAGCCAGTCGGTCATTGACACACAGAGACAGTCAGGCGAATGCGATGTACACAGACAGCCAGATGAACTCACATGCCTCTGTCTGTCTGTCTGCCTGTCTGCCTGTCTGTCTGTCTGTCTGTCTGTGTCTGTGTGTGCTTGCAGGTGCTGCACGCTGCGTCGGCCGAGGCCCTTGTGTGTGTGTGTCATCTCATTCTGGCGTCACCGAGAGGGGCGGCTCGAGGACATGCTATGCGACATGGACAAGGACGGCTGTGACACCGTCGGCGACCCCCTCACCGACGTCGGCACTGACGACGAGCCCATTCGCCTGTCGTCCATCGAGATCGATAACAATGAGGCCGCCTGGGAGGCCGGCGCTAAGTGCATGGCCGACCACCAGCCCCAGCAGCAGCAGCGGCACAGCAGCAGCAGTATCATGACGATGAGGGCGATAGGGACGTCAGCACTACGGCGACAGCGGGGTGCCTGTCAATGCGCCCTCCCTCCCTCCCTCCCTCCCTCCCTCCCACGACGACCCCATCGAGAGACGGTCCTTCCTGGCAGACGGGACGGCGATTTAATGTTTCTCCGAATCGGTGACCCCAGCCCAACACATCACCTGTCGCGGCCCCCACCACACTGCCCCTGGTCTACAAGTCGGATGGCTTCGACATGCAGGAGCTGATCGTGGATTGGTCCGACCGCCGCCCCGAGGTCTGGATGCTCTACTACCTCGGCCTCCCTCTCCGAGCCCAACAAGCAACAAAAGGGTGGGGACTTTTTGCAAGAAGCAGCCAGGCGAACCAACGCATGGACAGATATTATGTTCTGTGTATCAGGTCTTGCGTTGGGGCAATCGTTGCCTACATTTTATATTTGTTTGGTTTCGATGACGGTTGCCGCCATTATCTTTGTTCCTGGCAATGGTCAGGGCGTCCTGACGGTGCGAAAGCCTGCAGCTGCCCTTCAGTGAGCCACCACCATGCTGATAAACCTCGCCAACTCGGCCGCCCTCTCCCATCACCCCACCCACCCCCTCCCAAGCGCCTTTGTCCTCTTCTCTACGGCCGCACGAAGGGCAAAGAAGAAGCTCATCGCCAGCAGCATCTGCCACTCGTCGCCCGAGCTGCAGCTCGCCTTCTTTCACTCCCTCGAGAAGGACCACAGGGCCTTGCCTCAACGACGCCCAAGACGAGACGGAGCTTCGGGTGGCGCAGGACCACGGCAGAGAGCCAGAAGAGGACGAGCCTACCAACATATACGACGACGAGTGCCCGGAGGAGATGCAGCTGCTCGACATCGACGACCAATGGCGGCGGCGGAAGTATGTCAACATCCGCAACGCCGCCAGCAGCGTGGAGGAGGCCCTGCGTGGGGAGGGTATCGTGTCGGGGGGCGAGAGGGCTGCTGACAGCAGCGAGACAGGGAGGGGCGTCTGGCTGGAGGAGACTAGCACCCTCTATGGCATGGGCCAGGCCATGGCCAACGTCATGCGGGGCGAGAAGCTCGTCGATGTCCTCATGGAGGAGGAGAGCATGCTGTGGATCATCGACCAGTGGAGATATCCGAGGCCCCTCCTGACGCCTGCCGACCACCAGGAGGCCAAGGACGAGTTCTTGGGGTCCCGGGTGTCCGCCGACCTGCACCGCAGCCTCAAGTGGGGGACATACCACGGCCAGTATTTCACCGAGAAGGGCCCCCAGCTGCGGGAGATGACGGTGAACGAGGGAGAGGGTAGGGATGCTGCTGCAGGACCTGCAAGACCAGCCCAGCTTCGCCCCATGGTTGCCCAGGTTCATAGAAGGGCACCGCAGCGAAAGGAGTGAGACACACGAAACAACCCATAAGAATAGCTCATCAGTCTGTGTGTGTGGGCAGATTGTTTGATTATCGCCGCCTACATTTAATATTTCGACATCTCGTACATCGACCCTCTGCGCCCTGCCTTCGTGGACGACAATGCGGTACGTGGAAGCTGTACACACGAAGGTGTGAGGCCCTGGATGCCCCAAAGACGGATAGAGGCGGAGATAGAGGGCTACGTGATCATATCGCAATATATAGGTATGCATTGCATTGCATATGACGGGGAAGGAGGAAAGGCATCAAGGAAGGGACGCAACGCACACGTGTCTGTGTGTATCTGTCTGCCTTGGTTGTGCCCCCACCCCACCTGTTCAGCTTTTCTGAGTGAGGCCGATCGCGTGGCCTTGGAGGAGCAGCAGCCACCACCCCTACCGCCGTCGCCGCCACCCGAGGGCCCATCGGCTTTGCCAGCGGCTCTCGAGGCGCCTGCCTCTGCACCAGCGGCCGACGATGGCGAGGTCGATGAGTGGTGCAAGCGGCACCAGCAGGAGGCCGAGGAGTACGAGAGGGTCATGCAGGAGGTAATGGCCGAGTACGCCGACTTCCTGGGCCCTGACTTGCTGGAAGAGGAGCCGGTGGACCCCGAGAGCGGCGACGAGGGGCAGGAGAGGCAGGAGATAGAGAGGAAGCCAACGCGGGCGAGGTGTGGGACGGGGCCGTCACCCTCCAAGACCTGTTCCACATCCGGGCCGGCATGCAGCGCGCCGTGCTCCCTATGTATGGCGGACGCCAGCCGCCCACACCAGGCGCGCCTTCCACTCTGCCTCAGCTGCGGCCAGCAGCTGGCGACCACGTGCCCGACCCGGCCACCGAGGAGGACGAGAGAGAGGAGGGAGAGGAGGCCGATGACGAGGAGGAGCGTGGTGGCGAGGCGGGTGAGGGTCAGGAGGGAAGACTCGTCGACGGGCAGGACGGCATAGTGCATGAGGGTGTGCGTGAGGTGGAGTGCGTAGGACCTGTTGAAGAAGGTGAGTGGGTGACGTGGCACACACAAAGGACACGGCAGACAGAGGGACGTGTGGGTGATGTCTGACCTGACCGATCATTGCCCTGTTTGCTGTGTGTGGTGGTTTCGATCGTCAGGTCGGTTGTTTGAGTTTGAGCGATGCCAAGGGGTGCGTCAGGAGGAGCCAGGCAGCCCCTCGTTATCATCAACGGCTGCCGGTCAAGGTGAGGCGTCGGACGTCGGCTCGTCCCCGCTGATGCCCCTGGCTGCCCCGTCTGCCGCCAGCTCGCCGCAGATGCCCCTGGCGCTCCTCCCCTCACAGGCAGTAGCAGCAGACTTCAAGTGGTGTCCATCTTCCAAGGGCACCGGAGCGAAAGGAGTGAGACACACGAAACAACCCATAAGAATAGCTCATCAGTCTGTGTGGGGGCAGATTGTTTGATTAACGCCGCCTACATTTTATATTTCGACATCTCGTACATCGACCCTCTGCGCCCTGCCTCCATGGACGACAACGCGGTACGTGGAAGCTGTACACAAAACAGAGAGACAACCGACACGGAATCAGCCCCTCTCTCTGCGGTCTGTGTTTTGTGCGACGTACTTTGGGCAGTACTTCACCGAGTAGGGCCCCCAGCTGCGGCAGGTGATCGACGGTGTGAGGGAGGGGGAGGGTGGGATACTGCTGCAGGACCGTCAAGACGAGCCCGGCCGCGCCCTATGGTTCCCAGCTTCATAGAAGACTTGGAGAGGGGCACGCTAGAGGCCTTGGAGCAGCAGCTCGAGAGCCTCTGGAAGTCCATCATGCCGCCACAGCCCAGCCCCGCAACAGCAGCCACAGCATGAGAGGGAGGAGGAAAGTGAGAGAGGCGGCCCAACCCCCACCCGTCGCCTTCCCCACCGCCCCGCAGCCCCACCAGCCCCCACCCCCATCGCCCATCGTCGCCGAGGACAAAGGCCGACCAAGAGACACACAGACGAACACACGAGACGACACCGAGGCCGCACGCCACACGCCCACCACACAGATGCCGCCCATCAGACGACCAGCAGCAGAGCTGATTGAGAGGGCAATGAGTCCGGATGAGGGGGAGAGGGCATCGCTGGGGGACATCATCGCATCCGTGTAGACATCCTGCAGTGAGAGACAGGTATATGGTATAAATCACAGGGAGGAACGCAGAAAGACACACATGACACACGGGCAAACGAATCATGTGTGTCGGTGTCAGGTTTCAGGATCGTTGCCTACATTTTATATCTGTCGGCATATTTCCCTCGTGTCTCCGCACACACCATCGAAGACCGCCAAAACATGGTACAGTACGCCCTGCCTGTCCGAGGGGCTGAGTGAGCAACCAACCACATCACCTCCATGTCAATCTCTCTGTGTGGGGGTGTGCATGTGTGCAGGGCGTCGTGACCATCGCCATCAGGTACCTGCAGGAGGCGACGAGGGCGGAGCTCAGCGGGCGACTGAGGGCGGAGGCGGAGGCCAACGAGGCCATCAAGGGAGTGACGGGAGAGGGCGGCCCCAGTCACCCCTGAACTGGTTGCCCATGGCCTCGTCCATGGGGATGCGCGGCGGTCAGTCACCATCATGGACGGGGCCTGGCAGGCCTACCGCGACAGCGGGTACGACAGTGTGAGAGGGCCCTGGACGCGCAACCGACGGATACAGGCGGAGATCGAGGGCTACGTGATCATTTCGCAATATATAGGTATGCATTGCATTGCATATGACGGAGAAAGAGGGAAGGCATCAAGGAAGGGACGCAACGCACACGTGTCTGTGTATCTGTCCGCCTTGGTTGTGCCTCCACCCCACCTGTTCAGCTTTCTGAGTGAGGCCGATTGCGTGGCCTTGGAGCAGCAGCAGCCACCACCCCTACCGCCGTCGCCGCCACCCGAGGGCCCATCGGCTTTGCCAGCGGCTCACGAGGCGCCTGCCTCTGCACCAGCGGCCGACGATGGCGAGGTCGATGAGTGGTGCAAGCGGCACCAGCAGGAGGCCGAGGAGTACGAGAGGAACATGGCCAAGTACGCCGACGTCCTCCCCGACTGGACCAAGTCCCGGCCTTTCCTGCGCGAAGAGGAGCCGGTGGAGCCCGAGAGCGGCGACAAGGGGCAGGAGAGGCAGGAGATAGAGAGGCAGCCAACGTCGGCGGAGGTGTGGGACGGTGGCGGATGTGTTCCGTATCCGAGCCGGCATGCTGCACGACCTGTCCCTACCGCCACCAGACGTCGGCTGCAGCGGATCAGCCAGACCCTACCGACACCGGGCGAGTAGCGAAGCGATGGAAGGTACGCAAGCACGGCCACTGATAGAGCAGGGGTCAGTCAGAGAGCCGGGCGTGGCTTGCAGGGCAGGTGATCACAATGGCGTTTCCTCATCCGCGATGAGCGGCAACAGGGCGGATCAGATTCAGCCGGTGTGTCAGCCACCGAAGAGCAGCACAGACTGTCAAGTGTCAAGGCATGCACTGCCTTCCATGTGTGTGCGTGTTGTTTGATGCAGACGTCGCACGGTGGTGGTGGTGAGCTCTCATGGGACTCTGAGGAGGTGCAAGAGTGCGTTAAGCACCTCTCGTTGGTGGAATTGTCACAGGTAGGTGCACCGCACCCATCGTACACACGGCTGGCACCGAAGACACCCATCCATGTGTGCGTGCAGGAGGTGCCTGCACCGGCCCTTTCCACCCTATCCCATCGCCCCGACGAGCCCATGACGTCAGGCGAACCATCGACATGGGAGCGTAGAGGCCATGGCCTGCTGCACGCACCAGCGACATCACCCCGCAGTGAGACACAGGTACCTGCAACGCATACGAAATACAGACGAATTGGACACACAAGTGCCGTGTGTCGTTGTCGGTCTCAAGGATCGTTGCCTACATTTTATATTTGTCGGCCTATTTTCCTCGTGACTCCGCATCCACCACCGAGAAGGTAGGACTACACGTCGAGTGGGTTTCGAGAGGGCATCTTTGACTGCAGGCTCGGCATGATGGCGATGCTCTGCTCCGCACATCAGCCAGGTACACTCGCTGCATGGATCCATTCACGTATTCCTATGTGTTTATGTATGTGTTCTGTCCAACAGGCGTCTCACTCATGTCGTTCTGCAAGCGACATGAAGCCCGTTCGGCCCCTCGTCAAGCTCGTGATGGCCGTCGACGGCTGGTACGGCACGAGGCCGTGCTTTGTTGCGATGCCGTGTCGTCGTTCAAGTGTCTGAGGCAGCTCACAGGGGGCAGGGGGGAGTTTTCTGTCGTTGACGGGGTTTTGACGAGGGGCGACACGAGACTGTCCGCGGTGGCCAAGTACCTGAGTCGCGACCAGCGGCAAGAGGGCAGCGAGAGGGCAGCACATCTGCGTGAGCGTCTGGAGGAGGAGGCCGCGAGAATGAGGGACGTGGTCCGTGCCGCCAAGCCCGTGCCACAGTACAAGATCGACCACCTCTTCGACGGCCATGTGGAGCCGACGGGCAGTGCCGTCCTCGCGCCTGAGGTGCTGGTGTTTGCCGACGACCTCGAGAGGCTCCGGCCGGTGGTGACGGCGGATGGGCAGACACTCCGTGGGGCTGGTGCGTGCTTAGTGATGACCAAACTCGGCGAGGGTGAGTCCGTCCGCCCGAGACACCGGCACCAATCACACTCACTGCATGAATGCGTCCATTATCCCTCTGTGTTTGTGAATGTATTCTGTCCGACAGGCGTGTCACTCATGTCGTTGTGCAAGCGCCTGAAGCCCGTCCGGCCCCTCATCAAGCCCGTGATGGCCGTCAACATGATCCTCCTCCTCGAGGCCCTCCACAAGCAGACGAACATCACCCACGGGGACATGCACGGCGCCAATATGGTGGTGCTGGATGAGAGGACGGGCGAGCTGGGGCTGATCGACTTCGAGACGGCCCGAAACATGGCCCACAGTCAGCACACCAAGCTGGCCAGCCGCCCTCGTGCCCCCTGCACGACCATCGACAACCTCAAGGCCATCATGGAGGGTCGAAGCATGGTGGACGAGACCGTGTCCTTCAACTCCGACGTCGTGTCCGTGGCGTGCATGTTGGTGAACCTGGCGTTTGACGGCTGCATATCGGCGCTGTTCACCTACGACATGGCCCGCAACACGATCCAGGAGGTCGTCGACGCATGCGAGAGCTGCAAGATCATCAACATCGAGGAGGCCAAGGACGCCTATATCGCCGCCGTCAACACAGTACACACCAAGGCCACCGAGAAGCTGGTCCACGACACCTACATGACCCCCTCCACCGCCCCGCTCTGCCAGAAGGCCCTCGACACCTACAGGGACGTCTGCAGCGGCCATGCCAACGGGCTGGGCGCAGAGCAGCTGCGGGACATGCTGCGGACATGCTGCTGCGGCAAAAAAATGCTGTGTATCTCCGATCGCTGCCTGCATTTTATATTTGTCGGCCTGTTGCCCTCGTGTCTCCGTATCCATCATCGAGGACTGGCATGAAGCGGCCAAGGAGCAATGAGTCAAGAGGCTCTACAAGCGTTGTGGAGGTGATGGAGAAGACGCTCGACGCGCTTGATGAGGCAGAGCGCGACATCGAGGCCACGCTGGAGCAACTGCATGACAGGCCGTAAGCGACCCAGTCAGTAATATCCTTCCTCCACGTGACACGAGCAAGGTAGGACGTGCATGTTGAATGAAACTCGAGAAGACTCTGTGTCGTGCGTGCTGCAGGCGCAAGAGATACGTCAGCTAGGAAGGGACCGACGATTGAAGCCTGCTGTGTGGCGTGGTGGTCATGCCCTCCTGCTTTGCCGTCTGAAGCAGACATGTCGGACCGACATGAATATCCGCACATCAACCCGGTGAGGGAGCTGCACTTCATCTCTACGTCAATCTGCATCTGTGTTTGTCCAGATGTTTGAGGACATCGAGAGTCGAACAAAGTGCTCTTCGAGCCACATTCACGAGCCTGAGAGGGCCGCACATGCGAGAACATCCCTCGCACGAGAACGGAGCTGTACCCGTATGTTGGGGTGAAGGAGGGATGGTGCGTGGGCAAAATGCATGCGTCCAGATGGTTTGTGTTTGCAGCGAGGAAGATGATGAGTACGCCTCCCTCAAAAAGGCCAAGGGCAAGAAGGGCAGCCCAAGAAGCCCATCAACCGGCAGCAGCAGGAGCGGGCCAACACGACCCAGCAGCAGCAGGGCGGCACCACGGGCGGGGTGAGTGAGGACAGGAAGACACAGTGGGTGTGGTGTGGTGTGGTGTGGTGTGGCGACGCTGACCATCTGTCTGTCTGTTTGTATTGATTGTACCCTCTGTGTTTTGGTAGGTGGTGCAGACCATCAAGGAGCGCCTGGGCACCACCCCGTTCAAGCCGAGGACCAGCCGCCCGAGTCGTTCCTACACGTAAGAACACCC